TTGAATCCTTAGACCAGACAAAGAACACAGAAGCAAAGAAGGAAAAATCTTGCTGCTCCTACAAGTTGCAGATGTACCCATAAAAATTAGGTAAGAAAATGAAATAAAGACATGTAAATCAGTAAGAAGAAAATTATTTGTTTGAGAATCACACGAACTTACATATAGTGAAACCTTAGAAACTCCACAAATAAAGTATTAGAACTAATAAACTCAGGAAAAGTTCAGGATACAAATCAGCATACAAAAATATGTTGTATTTCCACACACCAAAACATAGTATATGAAAAAACTAACAAAATCACACAATTGAAAATGGCACAAAATGGAGCACCTGTGTGGTTCAATCCGTGAAGTGCCTACTGTTGATTTTGCCTCAGGTCATGATCTCATGGTTCCTGAGTTTAATTCTAAGGCAGGGTCTGCAATGATTGTGCAGAGCCTGCTTGGGATTCTCTGTCCCCTTCTCTCTCTCTGATCTCTCTCTCCTTCTCTCTATCTGTCACACAAAACTAAACACACATTACAATTATATGGCGCAAAATAAAGTAGTTAGGTTCAAATTTCACTAAAAAGTAAAATAACATACCAAACATGACCTGCTGGGAGAAAGGCATGTAAAATGACACACAGATGAAAAGATAACTGTGTTCACAGATTAGAATTATCACCGCGCCTTCTGCAAGAAGTGATCTAGAAGTGCCTCTCAAACAATGGTTTTAAATTTGAAACAAATCTAAGTCTGGAGCCTGATATATAGTCAGAAGATATGCAAATAAGGCCCTCCCTGTGCTGATTAAACCAGTCCAGCCCCAACCCTGTAGCTGGGAGAGGAGCCCCAGCCCCAGGAGTCCCAGGGGTCCCCATTCTGTGATCAGCACAGAGAATAGACACATCACCATGCAGTGCTTGGCTGGGTTTTCCTTGTTGCTCTTTTAAAAGGTAATTCATGGTGAATGAGGGACACTGAGTCTGTGAATGGATATGAGTGAAACAGTGGATGTGTGACAGTTTCCTGACCAAAATGTCTTGTGTCTGCAGGTGTCCAGTGTGACGTGCAGCTGATGGAGTCTGGGGGAGACCTGGTGAAGCCTGGGGGGTCCCTGAGACTCACCTGTGTGGCCTCTGGATTCACATTCAGTAGCTACTACATGAACTGGGTTCGCCAGGCTCCAGGAAAGGGGCTGCAGTGGGTCGCACGCATTTATGATGATGGAAGTAGCACAAGCTACACAGACTCCGTGAAGGGTCGATTCACCATCTCCAGAGACAAGGCCAAGAACACGCTGTATCTGCAGATGAACAGCCTGAAGACCGAGGACACGGCTACATATTACTGTGCAAGAGACATGGTGAGCGGACCTCACTGGGAGCCCACACACAAACCTCCCTGCAGGAGGGGATCAGCACCACCAGGGGGCGCACACTATGCACAACTCTGGTTTGTGTTCCCAGGAGCAGGTGCAGATGGAGGTTACAGGCAGGTTTCCTGTCAAGGTCTGGGGCTTCCTTTCCACATAGCAGTTTCTCTAGGGTTCCTATCGTCACAGGGTTCTGTGTTTATTAACTCTCTGAATTAGCAACTGTATTGTCATAGGACAAGTACCCTAACATGCACAAAGACACAGTTGTTTGCATTGCTTTCTCCTGTCACTCAGTATGAATGAATTGTAGATTTCCTGACACACAACAGCTGAACCTTAACAGGAGTCCCAGAGGCATTCACTGTGAATCCAGGACTACAGGATCCCCCAGACCCCCATTATCTTCACCCAGCACTTGTCCCAACAGTGTGACACTTCCCTCCTGGCACTTGCTACTCAGGACTTTAAATGAGCTACAGCTTTATCCAATTCCTCTAAAGAAGAGATAATTCATCTCCATGTATTAGTCAGGATTCTCCCAAGGAACAGAAACCAAAGCACATTGGTTTCCATGACTAAATACATTGATAAACCCCCACATTCCACTCTCACATGCTGGAGACCCAGGAAAACCAGTGGTGTAATTCTCATCTGATTCTGAACTAGTTTCTAGTCTCAAACGTGAAGAGCTGATGATGTAACTCTCAGAACAAGGGCCAAAGGAGACCAATGTTCCAATTCAAACAGGCACATGGGAAGTAAAACTGAGGGAATTCCTCCTCCCTCTGCATCAGTTTCTATTCAGAACCTTAATGGAATGGGTCATGCCCAGACAGACAGAAACTTTGGATAGAAATGCCAGTCTCTTCTGGAACACATCACAGACATCCACAGAAACAGTGGGGAGTCTGGGCACCCATGATGCAGTCAAGATGACACATAAAGGTAATCATGACAAGTCAACCTCCTGTAAATGTGCAGTTCAAAGACTGAAGATTTAGAAGTCCATGTCATGACTGGCACGGAGCCTGGTGGGCATAGCTGTGCTTCGGTGGAGAAGGAGGGCAGAGTCGCATAGGGGACATTGTGGTCTGAGAATCCCCTGGGCGACTTGGGGAGAGACAGTTCCCTTCTCAGGGTGCATTTCGTAAAGGGTGTATTGCCTCTCGTGGGGCAGGAGAGCTGACAGGCACCATTGCACTGCCCTGGTCATTAGCATAGAAGCCTCTGTTGAGAGCAGCTAACTGAATGCTGCCTTCATGTTCTTCCTCATCATGAACTCCAAGCCCCTAGTGTTCATGCAACTGCCCTCCTGGGATAACTAGCTCCAGGCACAGCACAGCAAGACCCTCTCCTAGATCAGTGGGGCCCCAGTCATATTGAGTTCATATAATTTGGAGTTTTCAAACCCAGCTAGAGCTCCTGAGATAAAACATAAGAGCCCTGTGCCACCAGGTCGGCCAATGGTTTGGACATAGACAGGGTGAAGGCAGGGTTTTGATGGAAGCCTGGGACCCACAGGTAGAGATTGTTCTCTCTGTGGGAGGGCTTCCTGAACAGGGGAGGCTGGGAACTCCAACTCAAGGGACTAGATAGGGAGCTGATACCAATATTTCCTCCCACCAATCAGCATGGACAGAATTCAGTGAGCAACACAGAACCTCCCAGTAGAAGCTGAGCCACTGACACCAAGCTATACCCCCGCTTGCCTTCCTCAGGTGCTTCCTTACTAGAGAAAGAGGGCCTGGAAACCCAGATCAGCACCGCGCCCCTCCATCAAAAGACGACATATACCCCCAAAGGCACCAAGTCTACTGGCCATATAGTGAGGCATAGCTTCACCTCTAGGGGAAATAGGAATTAGCCTCTTGTAACAGGCAGAACAAACTCACCTAGTTAAAACTCACAACATTGTGGACAATGTCTAAACACTCATCAACGAAGGCAAGGAGAAACTCTGCAGAGGGCTTAGCTGAGGGACAGAGCAGCCAATACACGACAGCACAGTGCACACAGAATATGCAACAAATGCTTCCTAAAGCGTCAAGCCCGCAACAGCAATTGAACACTTCTCAATAAAGACACTACTCTAGAAGCAGAAAACAAAACAGGATTTTCTAAAACACTTAAGAAATCAGAGATATAGACATACACCATGATGGAGGAATTCATCCCAAAAGAAAAAACGATAAAAGGTCATTGCCAGGGATATTATTAAAGCACATATAACTAATATGCCTCAAACAGAATTTCTAAAAACTCTCACAAGGAAAAAGAATTTTTAACAACTATCATAAGGATACTTGCTGTGCTAGAGGAAAGCATAGGAGACATGAAGGAAACCCTTACTGCAGTTAGAAATGACCTAAAACCCAGTCATGTTGAAATTTTAAATGTTGTAACCAAGATGTTTCAACTCTCCACAGACTAAACCATACAACCTCAGATCCCTCTGAATGGAGAGTTGTTGAGGCCATAATCTCACATGTGTTCTGACAGGAGCTGTTCCCTCCACTGTCCCTGGCTCTGGCTCTCTCCTCCAGGTGAGGACGAGTAGGTTAGGAATCCTCCACTGAAACCATCTGTTTCCTGCACCTGACTCTCCAAAACATGAGGCCCAGACCTTCCCACACTCAGCTGGAAATGAAGTCAGTTGTACCAGCACAGATATACACCTTGGTTTAGTGGATTGCTCCAGCTCCCCCCTGCCCTGGGCAAAACTCTGCAGCTACAGGTGGGGACAAAATAAGGGCTCAGTTTAGGGGTGAGTGGCAGCTGCACTTCTTTGAGGCTTGCTTGTCC